TCCAGTTTACACGGTCAAATGCCTTCTGCCAGTCTATGAAGCAGACACACAGTTCTTCATCTATCTCCAAAGTTTGTTCTGCTATAATTCTCATCATCCCAATTGCATCCCTGGTTCCTTTTCCTCTTCTAAATCCAAACTCATCTTCTCCAAGTATATCCTCTATTTTCCTTTCAATTCTTCTTTTAAGTATCTTTGCTATTATCTTTGCTGTATGTGCAATAAGGCTTATTGTACGCAGCTTACATGAACTAAATTTAAAATGGCCTCCAGGGCCGAGAGCACAATCGGCAAGAAGCTATTCTACCTTAGCAACTATTTTGAGTGCTCCCCCATCGCCCCCCTTCTAATGCTTTTTTCGCTGCTAGCAATAAATACTTTTACAACCAGATATCTTGTACTGCAGAGTCTCTTTCCTTCTGGCTTTCCCACCAGTATCCTATATGCATTCCTCACCTCCCCATTCGTGCTACATGCCCTGCCAACCTCATCCTCCTCAACTAGTGATATTGAACACAGTTCAAAAATAGAAATAGGTTGGTGGGGAAATAAATATTTTTACAACCAGATATCTGCATACAAGAGATCTGGTTGGCAGGGCATCTAGCACGAATGGGGAGGCGAGGAATGAATATAGGATATTGGTGGAAACGCCAGAAGGAAAGAGACTACTGGGAAGACCAAGGTGTAGGTGGGTGGACAATATTAAAATGTATCCTAGTGAGAGGATGGTATGGTATGGATTGGATTGATCTGGCTCAGGATAGGGACCAGTGGAGGGCTCTTGTGAACACAGTAATGAACCTTCGGGTTGTACAAAAAAAGGCTGGAAAATTCTTGAGTGTCTGCACAATTGGCAGCTTCTCAAGAAGGGCTCAGCTCTATAAGTAAGTTTAATATCACTTCACCCATTTCCTTTTGGTTGGATTCGAGTGAAGTTCTATTAAACTTGGTCCCCCACCCCCTTTCCAAAAAAAAAAAAAAAACATCGGAATGAGAGCCTCTGCAGCTCTGGAGTACAAGAGATTATGTTGCAAATTATTTATCTGGAGAAAGTTTTTCACTAGTGCCTGGGAAGTAATAACCTTTCTTTCACAATAAACACCTCTTTAACAAAAGGCACTGAACATTGTGAACTGTTACATACATGGAATACTTGTATTTAGGAAAGCTGAAGGTGGGGAAACTTGAAAGAAAATTCTGTTTCCATCAGAGATACCTATATTAACCTCATAATTTTCTCATAACTTACACTTGAAAGCCACATAGAACACAGTTTTTCGGTTACATTTAAGTATTATAAATCATGTGTTGTAAGCAACAATACTCATGTTCCCATTTATTATTATTTTCATTAGAATGATGGAATTCGAGAATTTGAAATACACTCGTCAACAAGATTAAGACTGCATTTAATGATATAAGGAAATCTGATATATTCATCTTCACCAGTTCAGTACTGGGCAGAAAAATATGGCAGAAATAATAACATATCTTAAAGAAATGTAATGAATACTGAAAATCTGGTATCTATTTATATTCCAGTTCAGTAATTGAAAGGTTTGTATGGCAAAAGTAACGTCTTACAAAAAATGTAATAAATACTGAAAATCTGGTATATATTCATCTTCCAGTTCAGTATTGGGTACGATTATATAGCAAAAATTAATGATATATGTTAAAGAAATGCAATTACTATTAAAAATCTTATGTTCATGTTCACCAGTCCAGTACAGGTAGAATTATATGGCAAAAGCAAGAGAAGGAATACACCCATAACAGAAATGAATAACAATGTAACAAAAATGAAATAGGTAAAGAAATTACATAAGTAGTCCTACCCACATTCAATCCTGATACTGATTCTGCTTCTCAGAGTTTCACACTGAGGTGGATAACCTGAACTTTGCAAGTCAGTTATAAAGTAATGCCTCTTCATTCTTACCTACACACAAAGAAGACCCATGTGTGTCAGAAAACAATTTCCTATACACTTGATTGAAATATAATATCTTGAAGGTAAAGGACAGAATGAACTCTGACCCAGTGAAGTTCTAATATTCGTAGACGAAGGAAACATGTTTGCAAAGAGGGGAAGAGATGGAGCTCAAGTTCAAAATAAGTCTTGTGTATGTAATCGAACTGTGGTTGACCATGTTATCATTCACTGCAACATGTTTGCAAAGCGGGAAAGAGATGGAGCTCAAGTTCAAAGTAGGTTTCTTGTGTGTAATTGAACTGTGGAGATGATGTTATCATTCGCTGCACAGTAGTTTCTGTTGCTGCAGTGCAACTGCTTGTCACCAGGGATACTTTCTCCAACTTACGAAACATTTAATGATGCTCATGTGACTAGTTGGCACACACATTCTTCCAGTAATTTCATAACTGCTCTCTGTCAATTTCCAGGGCTGGTATGGGCAGGACATTATAAGGGAAAAATGAAGAAGCATTAATTTCCTAATGACTTACTGACAGTATCTTCATCTTCCTCTCTGTGGCCCTTGCCTGGTTTCTTCAGTCATCAACCTGTTTCTTCGCTTACACCACCAAGGAATGTAAATTCGTGTGAGACATCTCACAATACTATCTAGTATTCCTTGGTGGTGAAGTGAACAGCCAGAACACCTAATCCACTCGAAGTCAGTGGTGCTTGTGATGGCAGGTGTGATATGCTGTACACCTGAATTCAAGTGGGCAGCCTCTGTCATTATAGACTCCATCAGAGTTACAGAGTTACAGCAGTACCAACAGTCTCCACCAGCTTCTCAGAAGGATACGTGAGAGACTGTTCTGTATCACTGCACTCCTTGAAATATATGAAGACATTGGCTGATAGCAGCACTTCAAATGTCAGGCATGTCTTGTATGCATCACAGCTGACACCACAAATCACCTGTCTGGCAATGGAACCACTGATGTAAGGTACTGAGAGCACTTCCATGTCACCATCAGGTACTGCAGGACTCATGTCCATCTGTACTTGCTGAGCAACATGGAAACTCAGGCACACCAGCAGGGGTTTCCTTGTCATAACTTGTGGAAGGATTTCGTGAAGCAGCTTCAGGTGCCCTGAAAAGCGATTGTAGATTATCCAGAAGAGTAGCACCATCATCCTCACAATTAGTTTCCCCCAGTCCTCTAAATGCAAGATCATTGATGATGATAGTCTTCAGGACATCTGCAAACTGTCCCACAGTTGGGTTACATGGAGATGTGCGACATGAAATGTGCTGTGGTAGGGCCAGTGTCTGTTTAAAATGACCCATTTTGAGACATGGTTTTGTGTGGCGGTTCCTACCACGATCAGGCTCCTCAGAACAGAAAGTTTGATGGCTGCAGCTGTCCCCATACAACTGCAGGTTGTCTGTGGTGGTGCATAAAGTTTGCAAGTTCTGTCTCATGAATAGCACAAGGGCAGGCAGGCGAGTATGGCACAGGCAGAGGACTAGATGCAGAAGGAAGGATGGGTGACTGTCAGGTTGCTGCAAGGGCAAACATGTCCATTGGGGCAGCAATCGGTTTCCCTCATCTCATGAATTCCTGGTGAGGTGGCTGCCCAGGAGATTGGTCTCAGAGCAGAGTGGGACTCCATCTGACACAGCTACAGTGGCACTTGAAGCAAGGTCCTGAGTTCATTTTCATGAAGCCCAAAGAGTGTTACTTTCCAAATTCCAGATGATTGAGGAATGACCTGGAGGGCAGGAACAGCTGAATCTGGAAATTCTGCAGTCAGAACTGACAGGGATGACTGGTTCCTGGCCAGGAGGTTTGTTAATAATAACTGCAGAATCATTTAAATTGGCAGGACCAGATGGAAGTATCCCTGCTGCTTTACAGTGTGGGATGGAACAGTGGGTTTGTTCCTGTGCTTGTCTGGTCAGGAGGCAGGTATGGGTTTGCACCATAGCCAGTTCACCTGCCGCTGGGGCAAATCGTCTGAAATAGCTCTTCGCAGTGTTAACATGGGTTGCCACTGGGGCAAATCGTTTGAAACGGTTCTTTGCAGTGTTAACATGGGTTGCCACTGGGGCAAATTGTCTGAAGCAGCTCCTCACAGTCTTAACGTGGGTTAAGAATGGAGTAGAGCACAAAGATGCAGTTAAGATCATTCCCTGATATTGAGGGGGCATGTGATACAGAATTTGGCTGCCTGAAGACATGAGCTGAGCCC